CGAGTGCTCTCTTGACGGCCCCGTGGGGCGAGCGTTTCCGACAACCTTCCGTCGTGGCGTGGCCACCACGCCCCCCTCGCGCGCCCTGCCAAGAGAGGTGCACGAGCGAGCTCGTCGGCATAGGAAACCTTACTTGAGGACTTAGTGGCTGCGGCCGCATGCTTCACCCAGTGCGGCGCACCCCTCACACGTTTCGTGGCCCCGTAGGGAGCCCCGCCTTTGGCCCCAGTGGATGCGGTCGCACGGGGAGGGGGGCTGGCGCACCTCCGCGGCGGAGGCAGCGGTGGGGCGGGGGGGGGGGGCCCGAGAGCGCGCGCCCCGAGGTGCCCGAGTGCGACGTGGACTGCTACCTGCAGGGCGCGCGCGCCACCTGCGCCCAGCGCATATCCGTGGAGGGCCAGCGCCAGACATCGCCGCCCGCCGGCCCCCGCTGCGCCAAAGGTAGGGGAGGTGGATAGACTCGGGCCGGGCGAAAGGGGGGGATTGGGAAAGGGGGGGTTACGAAATTTGCTGCATGCAGCTGGTTTCGGCCTCACCAAGGGGCCCATTCCTCGATACATAGCCGCCTCCGGCGCCGGGAGGCGCCGGGAAAATCAGCTACGTGAGCCGACGTGAGCTGATTCTCGATCCCCCCCTTTGCTATCCCCCCATTTCGCCCGACCCGATAGACCTCCTGCCTGGACACGTCGACTAGTGAATGGGCCGTTCTCGGTTCGCGATGGGGGCGTCGCGGCCGTTGTTTTTGCGGGTCTATAGGTCCGTCGGCTTCGGTCCCAGGCCGTTTTTCCGAAACGGAGGTTTACGAAAGGGAGGTTTGTCCACCGCCGAAGGGAGGGGGTGGGCGAGGAGCAGTACGCGCGGGCGTGGCTCCTGGCCGCTCGGGCCGCTACCGGGTCCCTCTCGAAGGAGGAGGGCCTCGCGACGGAAGGTCTTGGCCATTTTCCGATCCTCGGGGTGCCCTCGCCGGGCCTCGGGACCGTCAAGAAGCTACGGGCCACGGGGGATGAGCAACCTGCCCTGTGGGAAGAGTCGGAGCTGCTGGGGACGCGTGTTGACAGACCAAGACGCTGCATGCTTGGGGAGGCTCTTTCGGCTACCGCAGCTCGTCAGCCCGCGTCGCCACGGCTGGATTCAGGTAGAATTTCTGGCCAGAGCGCACCCCAGGAGAGGTCCGTGGAGTAGCGATCTATCGGTTACCGTTTTGCCGCCCCCCCCCCCTCCCCCCCCCCAGCCTCAGTCTTGCTGACCTGCCGCGATGCTTTCGCGGCGTGCCGCCGCGCGTGCGCGCCTGCTGAGCACAAACAGACCGGGTCTTGGCCGCAGCAGGCCGCCGCCCCCGTGGGCGCAGGACTCCACGAGGGTGGCGGCAGGTTCCTCCAGCACCCTGCCAGGCCCTGTGGCTTGGCGATCGGCCCGTGGTCGTAATCGAGCGCGTCCAAATGAGATCGGTGTAGGCGCTACGGGAGGGAATCCCGACGTACATGCTGGTATGCGAAGTGCACGTTGTCTCGAGGCGCGCTCTGTCATCTCGAGAAGGAGACAACTGCAAAACAAAACATACACTTTCGGGGCTCCGCGCGGGTTTCTCGGTTCGACGCTGAGACCCACCTGGCGGCGCCTCTGGTGCCGCCCTTGGGGCGCTCCGCGCGGTCCGCGCCCAGCGCCGATCCACAAAAAATACTCGCAGAGCGCCCTCCGCGTATTTCGTGGAGATTCTTCCTCTCGAGAACGGGCCCGACGTATATGCTCAGAGCACGTCGGCTCAAGACGCGCTCTGCCACCTCGAGGAAGTAGCAACTGCAAAGCAAAACATACTCTCGCGGTGGTCGGTTCAGCGTCCCGCTCGCGGTGGTTAGTCCAGCGTCTCGCCGTCATTTCAGCGTCTTGCTCGCGGTGGTTGGTGGCGGGACAGTGTCTGTCGCCATGAGGCGTTCTTAAAAGGGCTTTGCCGTCGAGGATCGAAGGAGTTGCCATCTCTTCATCGGCAGAAGGCCAGCGGAAGGCGGCGGAAGTAAAATAAGGCCGCCTCCGTTGGCGGAAGCTCCGGCGGAAGCCAGCGGAAGTGAAAAGTTGCCAAAGTGATAATGCTGTTGGGTTCGGGGTTTCCGGAACCCGCCATGTCGCGTCAGGAGTTGTTCGCCCGAGCCTTGCTGCCAGACCCGTCGGCCTGGCTCCTCAGGGCTCAACAGGGGCCCGAATAGCGAGGGCACACCCAGCAGATCCGCAGGGCCTTGGTGAGCGTAGCTGTCCCACCGGATGCGGCCCTCTCCACAGACGGAGTAGGCGGCGACGCCAGGTTTCCAGGGTTCGGGTTGCAGGACGGTCCGTTCGTGATATGGGCGGGCAGGAGCGCAGAGGTCATCTCTGCGATTGTTGGTGCCGCCCCGTCTCCGAGGCCCTCGGGGTGGAGGAGGAGGAGGAGGAGAGGGCTGTGGCTGAGGAGGTTTCGTCTCTCGCTCGTAGGCGGGGTCCTTTCTGTTCACGCACGTGCGTGGACAAAATTGGAGAGATCGGACTTGGCCACGCCTCCCTTCTCCACCTCTTCTTGCGCGCGCTGCAGGGCTCACACATCGGAAACGTGAGCGGCCCGCGGTGAACCGCGGGAAGCAAGGCTGCAGCAGCCTGAAGCTCGCAGCCAGAAGCTGGAGCTCGGAGACGGCAAGAGTTGCCGACAGCACCACCAGCCTTTCCCACCGCCACCATGCTCACAGACCCTCCCCCCACTTGTCAGATGGGATGGCAGAGAAGGCCCCTCTGCACCCCGTCACCTTCCACTCCCCGCTCCCGCGCACCCCCCCCCCTCCCAGGGCAGCTGCAGCAGAGGCCAGGGCAGGCGATCGCGCTCCCGCGCACCCCCCCCCCCTCCCAAGGCAGCTGCAGCAGAGCGCCGCTTCGACCTTTCCCCGAGGTGCAAACCAACTGCATACTTTCGGAGCTCCGCGCGGATTTCTTGGATCTGCGTTGAAAGAACCCCCCCACTGGCGCAGGGTCGGCGCCGGAGGCGCTGCCTGGCGGGTCCACCGCCGATCCAAGAAATCCGCGCCGAGCTCCGACAGTTTCTGCTCATGCTGCTTTTGGTCCCTCGACGAAGGGTGCCCGGCCTCGCGCCAGACTGCCGCAGCTTCACACGGAGCGGTGCGCTCGGCGCTCGATGCATTGGTCACCGCGGCAGTCCGGCGAGGCGGCGCCCCAGGGCAGGGCGTTGCCCAGCGCTTTTCGGGGCACACCTCGGCTTCCTGGCGTCCGCTCGGCACCTTTCGGGCACCCTCGGGACGCTCTCGGCGAGGCGCAGCTGCTGGAGAGCATCCCGAGGCTAAAAAAGCCGCCGAGAACAAAGAGAGATATCAGAGCGCGCCCCCGAGGAAGATCGTGCTGCTGCTGGAAAGGGGGGATGCCCGCGGGGCCATCGCCCATCCTCTGAGGCGGCGCCCTGCGGGCGCGGGGCAGGCGGAATCGGCGCCGCGAAGCACAGGTTCCAGCGGGCCGGGGGGGACAGGTGCGTCGCGGCGGCCGACTTCGTGAAGGACCTGTGCCCGTCGTGCTACGCGTGCCCCCTGAAGGCGCGGGGGGGGGAGCAGCAGGAGGGAGGACTGGGGAGGAGTAGCGAGGAGGAGCTCCAGGAGCAGGGGGAGGGTGGTCAATATCCGAGGAGGAGCTGGAGTCGGGAGGAGGAGAAGGAGGAGGAGAGCATTGGAATGGGAGCGTGAATGGACGTGGGACCGGTGACGAAGCCGTGCTAACCACTTACCTGGATGCCAATTCCTTTGGCCTGAAGCCCCAGTTGAAGCGACCCACGAGTACATGACGCTTCTGCGAGACCTGATCAGGTACACACGGCTTGCTGAGCTCTCGGGGAACATCCCGCCCGAAAAAACGCAACTTCCGCACATCCAGACTGCCGACTCGAAACTATGAGCCAGAACACGAGTAGGAGCTACTGCCCCACCCCCGATGTGAACCAAAATGCCCGAGGCGGCCGCGGGAAACGCCCCGCCCGTCTGGATTTTCTGATCCGAGCAGTCCGCCTCCAGCCACCTGGTCTTCGCCTCGGCCGAGACGGACCTACGGCAGCGGAGACATTTGGCGGCGCTCCCAAAGAGCTGATGACTGGTGGCGAACATGGCGGCGGCGATGAGGCGGAGGAGCAGGAGGAGGTGTTTCCACACCTGGTTTGCAAGATGTGCAGAATGGATGAAGCGGCAAAGCAGGAATAGTCAAGATGTGCACTTTCGTGCTGCATCTGGTATCATATCCTGCGCTCCCATACCTCACCATTGAGTTGAACCCCCTATAGAGTTGAACGTCGAAGAAAAGGTTGAATTCGACTTGGTAGCTTTGTCAAAGAGGGCCTTGGACAGTGGCTGGATGTAACCGGCACATGCGCATACCAAAGCGATGACACTACATGCAGCACTAGCACGGTGTTGCAGTAATGGGGCCAATTTTGCGGCGAGACCGCCGTTCCGTTCGATTGAACGTCGATGGTAATCACTGCGTATGGACAAACGCGCTGCAGCGGAAGCACCGTGCACGTTGATGCAGAAGCACGGCCAGCGCCGCGGCGAGAGTGCGTTCCGTTAGACGCAGGCTCTATTGACAGTCTGAAACGTGGCAAGCGCTCAAGCGGGAACACCAGTCTTATTTATGCATTCGTGCGGCCATCGCATCGGCGAGAGCGTGGTCCCGTAGGAAAAAGGCTCCATGACAATTACACCCTTGTGGCAGAAGACCCTGAACAGCTTAACACAGCTAAGATAGGGGGTCACGATGGGGGATCGGGATAAGGACATTAGGGATCGGGATATAGGGATATAGGGATCGGGATTTGACTAGGGATAGAGGTATAGGAAAGGGAGATGAGATATGGAAATGGGACACACATAGGCATAAGAGGGGCATGTACACGGTTAGCAATAGAGACAGTGGGATTGGGATAGTTATCGGATCGGATAGGGATACGGTTATGGATGCGGATAGAGAATGGGAGCCAACGGGGCGTAATGGGAGACATTGGGAGAGAATGTGAGACACCGGGAGGCAATGGGACACACTTGGAGACAACATCGCCCGACCGATCCCAGGTCCGGCAGCGCACCGATAGGCTTCTCCGAAGAGATACATCGGAAGTTTTCAGAAGCTGCAGGGGTTTTGCGTATCTGTCCGATTCTGCAGGGAAGCAGACGGCTGGCCGGGCTGGGCCAGCCTCATGGCCACAGCTGCTGGTCAGGCACTCCCGGAGAAGATTGATGGCCTTCCTCCTCCTTGCCGCCGCCGCAGCCTCCTCATCTCTCCATTCCCCCTCACATCCCCATCCCTTTCCCCCTCGCTCCCCCTTGCCTCCATTCCCGCCCCATTTCCTCCCTCCCCCCTCCTTTGCCAGACATAACTTGTCAATCTGTCCCGCACTCGTGTCGAAACATGCACCACAGAATCTGGAGAGAACGGCCTCGCTCACCTGGTCTCATCTAGGCGTCGTTCGTTCCCCCCTCCAATCCCCCCCTCTCTCCGCCCCCTCCCTCGTCCTCATCAGCATTCCCCCCAAAGCGACCGACAAAGCCAGGACCCCCCAGCGCGCCCCCCCATCAAGAACAGATCAGTCAGTCCTGTTCTCTTATTTCTTCTCTTCTTTATTCATCCTCATTCCCCTTCCCGTATGACCCGCTTCGCTACGCAATTCGATGTATGACTTACTTTGTCTCACCGGTTTCCCGAACCTGGGTCTTCGGACCCATGCCAATATATGTTCCATGCTCTGTGCTGATCCCCCTTCCCCTCCTTCCCTTCTCCTGCTCCTCTCCAGGCCCCAGACGTCGTGTCTCTCTCACGGCATGGACCCCCAGAGGTCTCGATCCCTTCTTTTGGGCCGGGTGTCCATCCCGAGTCGCTTCTTGATGGCAACGGTCAGGCAGGCTCGAGATCGGGGTAAATCGCTCCAGAGCGCTCAGGAACGCTCTCGGAGCGTCGGGAGCGCCCTGGGAACGATCGCGGCGCCAGACATATCCTCCCAAACCGCATGATCTCAGGGATCACCGATTAGTTCTAGGCCTCTCAGATGGGGACCGTGGGGTCGGAGGGTCGTGCCGCATCGCCGATGCATCGGCGATGCGGCTCGATGTGGACCCCGATTTTCTCCATGCCCACGGCGCCGATGCATCGCCGACGTCGCCGTTGCATCGCCGATGCATCGCCGATCCGGATCCGATCTCGCCCCTTTCGTGGCTTCGCCAGCGGCTTCTGCACAGAGCGAGCGGGCCCGCGCCCTGCGCAGCCGCGGCGGCCCGCAGCCGCGGCGCCGACCCGCAGGGATTCGCGCCCCTTCCGCCTGGGCCCCCCCTCGGCCGCGCCGTGGGCGCTCGACACCCCGCGCCGATGTCCGCCCGCAGGCCCGGGCGGCCCGGGCAGAGGTCTCATTGTGCTTGTTGCTCACGCGATCGGCGCAGATCGCAATGATCAGGGGATCGTCAGAGGAGGAAAAGGTACCCATACGGCTATCCTTCCCTCATTTTCCCCCTGTTCGGCCTCGTGGGAAGCCCTCGTCGCCTCCGCTGGATTCGCCTCGAAATCATGGTCAGAACGCACTCCGGGAGGGTCCGGGGAGTGGCGGTATCGCTTCAATTTGGTTTCCCCGTGATCGCCGCTGACGTTACCGGTTCGTTTCGGTTTGGCTAGGCGATCGTCCGAGCCGAGATGCGTGATCGATCCGAGGTAGTCATCGTGATCGGGGCTGCGAGGAGATCACGTGATCGGGTGGTGTGATCGGCCGAGGGATCAGCCAGACACCAAGGCAGAGGTTCCGGTGCGAGCCCTCCAGCCCGAGGGAGGAAAGACGGCATAGGGCAGTTTCGCGCCGCGACCCTGGCGCCAGCATTCAATTCCGCTCCGCCAGTGGCCCAGAGTCGGCCGACTGCGAACGACTGGGCCTTCTGGAAAGTCGCGGTCGTTCAAGGTTGACCGATCCACGCGGCGTCAGAGACCGATGCCGACGTCATCGCGACGTGAACCCGCCGTACACATTAAACCTTTTGGAGAACCGCGCGGACTTCTTGGATCGGCGCCGGGTCCCCCTTCCCTGGCGCGCGGAGCGCGCCAGGGGCGGCGCCAGAGGCGCCGCCAGGGGGCCCGACGCCGATCCACAAAGTCCGCGCGGATCTCCAAAAGGTTAATGTGTATGCCGTTGTTTGTCCCTCGGCCAGCGGCAGCTCCAGCCGCTGCACCAGCTCGAGCGGCAGTGGCGGCAGCCGCAAGGGTGGGCCCGGGTACAGGCGGGCTGCGCAGGACAATGCCAGGGGTTCTAGGAGTGGGCACCCCTTCAAGTTCCTTTTGTATGCCTTACCCTCCCCGCCCCAGTGAGATGCCACCGCCCGGGACCACGTTCAGTGTACAAAAATCTAGGCCTCCCAGATAGGGTCCGAGGAGATGGGGTCGAGGGATCGCGCCGCATCACCGATGGTTCGGCGATGCCCATGCATCGCCGACGTCTCCGACGCATCGCCGCCGCATCGCCGATGCATCGGCGATGCGGCGCGACCCTCCGACGCCTCCGACCCCATCTACTCGGATCCCGTTGGGGAGGCCTGCACGCCCCAGGAAGGGAGTTCCGTGTACACCACGGCCAGGACCCTCGCCCAGCCCCCAGGGCTTTTGGGTTTAGCATGTCGATTTGTCGGGCAGGACCCTGTTGGTCGCGGTGGGCCTCTCGCCCCCAATGCACGAGCCCCGCCCGAAGAATTGGGTCGCTCATAACCTTGTTTTTGTTTTCGAATGTCCTTCGGCCCATCCCGCCAATGTGCCTGGTTACGTCTTCAAGTCCAAGATCTGTCCGTGGCCCACTTGCCCGTGTTCTTGCCGTTTTTGCTTCGTCGTTGTCACATTTTTCGGTCTCACAAAGCCGTTTGTGTGACGCCCATTTTTTTGTTGTGCCTTTCCACCACATAGTTTTTGCCTGAGGAGGTCTTGTCAAATGGCCTTCGGCCCATCCCGCCACTGTGTCTGGTTTGTGAGTATGAAGCCTACTGGATGTTCGTTGGAGTCTCGTGGGAGGCTTCTCGGGGGCCTCTCGGAGGCAGTTTGGTCGCCTCTTGGGGGCCGTTTGGCGTCCTCTTGGGGCCTCTTGGGGTCTCCTGGGCACCTCTTGGGGCCTCCTGGGGGCCTCTTGGGGCGGACGGCTCGGAATTTCGGTTCGTGCTCCCTCTTTTGGGCCACTTTCGGGGCCGCCTTGGGGCCCTTTTCTTGAATCGTTTTGGGCCTCTTGGGCCGTTTTGGGGCCTCTCTTGGAGGCCTCTTGGGCCGTCTTTGGGCGGTCCTGGTGGCCTCTAGGGCGGTCTGGCAGTGTCGGGAAGCCATCAAGGCGAGAACGCCAAAATCCATCAAACACCTATTGAAAATCAATGATTTGGGAGTCTCGGGGCCCTCCTGGGAGGCCTCTTGGAGGCATCTTTGGGGCGTCCTGGAGGCCTCTTGGGCCGCCTGGGGGCCGCCTTGGGCGTCCTGGGGCGATCGTTCGGCGACTCGGGGCCCTCTTGGACCGTCTGTTCAGGCCTCCTGGGACCCTCTCTGGGCTCGTCTGGAGGCCCAGGTGGGCCCACAAACGCGTGTCGCGACCTGTGGGAAGCCCCCCGGGGGGCACGCGCCAAGCCCGAGACGATTTGAGAACCTTGGGGCCCGGGCCCCAAACTGACCCCTCTGGACGGAGGACTGAGGCTCAGGGGATTGGGCAAGGCAAAGGACCTGTGCACACGCCCGCACCGTGCCCAGATGGACGGTGGCGGATCCCTGGCGATGATCCGAGTAGATGGGGTCGACGGATCGCTCCGCATCGGCGATGCGGCTCGACGTGGAGCCCAGTTTTCTCCACGCCAGCGTCGCCGATGCATCGACAATGCGGCGCGATCCTCCGTCTCCATCTACTCGGACCCCATGTAGGAGGCCTCTAGCATTGCTGCAACACTCACCTAGACAAGTCGACTGAGGAAATGTGCACCAGTTCACTCGACATTGGCATTGGCGTGTGTCGGTGCAGTCCCCAGTCGATTATGCTGATCGACGTGTGCTTCGCCAGATACGTTCGCTTGTCTTTGGCCGTCGGTTAGCTATCCCGCCCAGGTCCACTCGAAATGCAGCGCCGTGCGCACGTGGAGTGTGCCCCTGGACGCTTTCACTACAGGGCGTTTTGCGAAACCTTGTGTTCCGTCAATCCTCGAATGATGGGCATTACGGGGGGGAGTGACAGGGGACTTGTAGCGTCGTGGGCGCTGAAGCTCAGACTCACGGGTGACTAAGAACGTGTGATGTTTCTTGCCTCCAATCCCAGAGTTCCGCCCGAAGAGCTAGGCGGCTCAGACCCAGGGGGTATTCGAGGATGCGCCCCCAGGAGGCTACTCGGACGCACCCCATATCGAGGATGGCCCCCCACCCCCCCGTCGTGTATCCTGGTCAGTTCGACCGTCGGCCATCGTGAGGAGGCTCACGATGCGAGCGGCGCCACGAGTTGAGTTCACTGCCGTGGATGTGCCTCCGAGAGCGCCTGGGACTCCTCGTGGCCGTTGGGAGCCCCGCCGAACCCCGAGTAACGTCGGCCTGAGCCTGTCAACTGAGGAGGGTTGAAAACAAAAACCGTCGTGCATCCTCAAGCTTGACTTCAAATTTTGGGTCCTTTCGGAAGCCCCTCAACGTCGTGCGGGGATTGCGGTCGCCATGCCCTCTCGCTGTGAGGGACGAGGGACCCCAAGGGTGGGAGAGGGCTTCCAAGTTGAGGCTGCGCATCTCTCCTCTTCCTCCTCCTCCTCCTCCTCCTCCTCCTCCTCCTCCTCCTCCTCCTCCTCCTCCTCCTCCTCCTCCTCCTCCTCCTCCTCCTCCTCCTCCTCCTCCTCCTCCCCCTCCCCATCCTCCTCCTCCTCGCCCCTACCCCACGGGGGGTACTCGCCCCGGGGCCCCCAACGCCTCAGGGCCCCCTCTTCTTTGGGAGTGCCGTGCAGGGCTGACCCCTCCGTGGAGTGGCCTTTAGTGAGGGCCACCGGCCCCCCCACCCAGCTCTCGACTGCGCACCTGGATCTGGCCCACCCGCGGCCTCCCGAGGCCGCGCACCCTCCTCCTCCTCCTCCTCCTCCTCCTCCTCCTCCTCCTCCTCCTCCTCCTCCTCCTCGAGCTTACTGTTGCCCAGGCCTACAGTCGAGGCTGATCAGCAGGTCGACCCTGTTAAATCCAGGGTGCCCTTTGTGCTCTGTGTCTCGCGGCCCATGCCCTCTACATTCCTATGCCTGTGTGGCTCTCAGAAGATTCTTCTGTCCTCTCTCGTGTTCCTCTCTCCAGTCAACCCTGACTGTAGGGCCACCCTTGCGCGAAGCCAAGCAGGGAGCGAAAGCTGCCGCTGGAGCTCCAGCACTACCTGAACCGGAGTGCGGCCAAGGCTCCCAGGAGAACAACTCAATCGCATCATTAGGCATTCACTTGCGGAGGTCTGCGCGGACTGGTCGGGTCGGCGCCGTAGGCGCCGCCATGGGAGTTCAGTCCGCGCGGGATGTCTCAAAGATGAGGTTTTTTCATTCAGTCGTTCAGAGGCGGAGGGCCCGCTCGTCGCCGCGGCTGGACTCAGCTCGCAAAACTGGGGCACTTAGACCCCGGAAGGTGTCTAGGGACCGACTTTGAGCGGCCGCTGTCTCAAAACCCGCCCTGCTCCGAGCTGCAGCGCTTCTCCGTATTAAAGACGGACGAAAGCGGGGCCCTTTGCGCCGACATTCGCGCGTAAGTTGCCTGCGGCCAGTCTCGCGTACGCGCTCTTGTCTCCATGATAGCGTGCCGCGCTGGCTGCCCGCATCAGCCGCGGCGCGAGGTCGCTGTGCCATCTCGCGTCAGACTCCTCTCTCCTCGTCGCTCAGATGACGAGGTTCAGGAGGGGAAAAAACACAGACACCACAATTAATCGTCGATTCCCCAGAAAATATGGGAAAATATGGGAAGTGGGGGGGAAGACAAAAACCCAGAAAATATGGGAACATATGGGGAATCCTGTTATTTGTGATTTTTCATTTGTGTGTCGCAGGGCCCCTTCTGAGGTGTCCGCGGACGTCTCCGAGGAGAGCGGCTCCGGCTCGGGGTGCAGCGCGCGCTCGCGCCAGGCCGGCCGCAGCCGCTCCTCGGCACCGGCCGCCGCCTCGCTGCTCACTGGGTCCCTCGGCAGGCTCCCAGAGCGTTCGGGGATGGGCGCGGCGGGCGCCGCTGGCCAGCTGTGGGCCGAGGGGAAGGTGCCCGTAGGCTTGTGGAGGACGATCAATGGAGAGGAAGCATGTTGCCCAATAGTTACCAGATGTCTAAAACATGTACAATACATGTTCTTGAACATGTAAAGTACATGTTCAAAACATGTTCGGAACATTTGTCCGACAAGTTGAGCCCTTTTTAAATTCAATGATGGGGTGTCCATTGTCGTGGCATCCACAACCGTAGGCGGCACCTCGGCCTGCGCCTCCCTGCTGCGCACCGCGCTGGACAGCGGGCTGCCAGAGCGCCCGGAGGCGGGCACGGCGGGCTCTGCTCTGCACCACCTGGGGCAGTGCAAGCCGTGCATGTACGTGAACTCGAAGTCCGGCTGCGTGAAGGGAGAGGACTCTGAAGAGGAAAATATACCCTGGCATCGCTCGGACGTGTGCATTTTTCCTTCGGCCAGGACCATCGAGGAGCATCCTTGACCATTTGGCGAAAAAAACGCGCACGAAACCGAAAAAAAACACAGGAAATGGACGTCCGAGCGATGGCGAGATACCGCTCTGAAGGGATCCGGTTCTGAGGGCAAGCGGTCCTGAGGCTTTTCGACAGAGTTGGCTCCGCAGGGCCCTCCGCGGGCTCCGGGACTGTGAGAAATCGATTCGGGATAAAGATTTGGTCTCGGGGAAGCCCCCAGTTTCAGAACCCGTTTCCCACGAGACCCGCTTCCTTCATGCGAGAGATACCGATGTCGTGACCCGTCCCTCGTTGCCACGGCTGGATTCGCTTCGAAATCTTGGGCAGAACGCACCCCAGGAAAGGGCCGTGGAGTAGCTGTATGGGTACCCCTTGCTGTCCGCAAGGACTGCCAATTCTGCCACCTGGAGCACCCCATGAAGAGCAGGCCCAACCCAAGAAAGGCGGCCGGCATGGTGGGCGTCCTCTCTGCGGACGCTTGGCAGAGGAAGCAGGTGGCATGGTAGCAAATCATTGGAGCCTTGTATACCTTCGCAATTCCGTCTTTAGAGCGCACTAGCGTCGATTAGCGTTTGGTAACCGATGAGATTGGCTCGACTTAGGTTCGATTAGCGTCGATTGAGCGTCGGTTAGCGTCGATTAGCGTTGGTTAGTGTCGATTCGCAAAACCCAGCAAGATGATATTGGAGGCTTCCATGAGTTGCCACCGGAGGTGGCAGCGCTTCTGGGTGACAGTAGCGCGTGCACGGGGAATGTGCACATGGGGGATCAGAGGCAACTGGCCGAGGAGGCAGGTTCGTCTGCAGAGGCCAGGCCCTTGAACGATCCCGAGGATGAGGTGATCGAGATATGAGAGTCCTTCTCGGAGGCGACGATAGGGGCGAACAGACCAGGGGGGAGTAATCCATGTATTCAGGGGCGCCGATGATCCATGTCTTCGGCGAAACTCCCTTGCGAATACGTGCAGTGCCCGACCCTGGGCTATTCGCCCCTATCGTCGGCCCCGACCCTTTGGCACTGCGTGGTGCTGACTCGTGTGCAACAGCGGGGGGTGCATCCAGAAGTGAAGGTCCGATCTGCAGGCCCAGGATCGCAGAGGTGCTGCGACTCTGGGTCGCAGCAGAGGAAGCTTTCAACTGGCGCGCGTTGGGCTCTCCTGGTCACTCCCCTGCATCCCCCCTGCATCCCTCCCTCCCTCCTCCCTCGCCTCTCCCTTCCCCTCCCTTCCTCCTGCTGGTCGGTCCGTCGGTCCCCATCGTGATCCATCGTAAGGTGCTCGTTCTGTCGGTCCCCCAGCTCGGGCCTTGTGCTCAGGGCCATGCGCACCCTTTGTTCCCAACCCTCCTGCGTTGTGTTTTCGTTCTGGAGAGGGCACTGCTGATTCCTCCTCCTCCTTCCCACCTCTCCTGCTTCTCGAGTCCTTGCTTGCCTTCTTCATGCCTGCCCTTTACCTCGAGTCCCTGGGGGCTGCCATCTGCGCAACCGTCGTCACTTTTGTGGGCTCCTGCCACGCGGGCCCACTTGAGACCTCGCCCTGTCTGGGGACCGCCAACCGCGCCATAGTAACCCGTTTCGGGAGCTCCTGGGGCTTCTAGACGACCAAGAGGCCCTCAAAAGGATTCCCACGAGGCGTTCAGGAGGCGTTCAAATATGTGTTTTGTGCAGTGTTTAGTTGCAGGTTTTTCGTGTTCTCGCTGCTTCGTGCTTCCGAAGGTCCAAGACAGCCCAGGAGGCCCCAGACATTTGCTCAAGACTGCCCAAGAGGCGCCCAAAGAAGGCGCCGCGACGGCGCAAGAGTCCCAAGACGGCCCAAGAGTGGCCCAAGATGGTCCAAGAGGCGCGCAAGATCGCCCAAGTGAGCCCCAAGACGGCCCCAAGATGGACCCAAAAGGGGGCACACGAACCGACAATTCTAGCCTTCCGCCCCAAGAGGGTCCCAGGAGGCCCCAAGAGGCCCCCAACAGAGCCCAAAAGGCCTGCTGGAGGCCTCCGTTGAGGCCCCGCGAGGCTCCAAAGAGGTCCAAAAAGACGCCCCAAGAGCACCCCAAACAGCCCCCAAGAGGCTTCCAAAACTGCCTTCAAGAGGCCCCCGGGAGGCGTCCCGCGAATTCCAAACGAGCTTTCAAGAGGCCTCTAATCCGCAGCCCAGGCACGGTGGCGGGATGGGCCTAGATCCGCCGCCCCCTGTTGGCTTGCCACAGGGGAGCCCGGCGTGCTAGATTTAGATCCTTTCGTTGTTTTTGCTGTTTAACAAAAAACACTCCCTTGGGCTTCGGCCCGTCCCGCCGGCCACCCGCAAGGCCGCACCAGGCAGCACGAACCACCCCAATGTCCACAACAAATTCCCCAAGACGGCTCAAGATGGCCTCTGAGATGGTCACGTTGGCCCAAGATGGCCTCCAAGATGGCCCAAGATGGCTTCCAAGGCGGCTACCAAGACGGCCCGAGAGAGTCCAAGATGCCTTCAAGTTCGTCCAAGAAGGCTCCAAGACGGCCCAAGATGGCTCCAAGATGGCTCCAAGATGGCCTAAGGCTGGCCAAGAGGCCTCCAAGAGCTCCACAAGGAAGGCCCGAAGAGGCAACAATCATTGATTGTCCTTAGGTTTTGACGGATCTTGGCATTTTCTTCTTATCAGCTCTCCCACGGCACAAGACGGCTCAAGAGGCCCCCAACATCGCCCCAAGCGCGCCCAAGAGGCCTCCAATATGGCCCCATGACAGGCCAAGAGGCCCCCAAGAGGGCCCCAACAAGACCACAAGACGGCCCAAGAGGCCCCCAAGACGCCCAAGATGGCCTCGAAGACGCCGAAGATGGCCTCCAAGATGGCCCAGATGGCCTCCAAGATGCCTCCAAGACGGCCAAGAAGGCCTCCAAGACAGCGAAGATAGCCCCAAGATGCACCCAAGACGGCCCCAGATGGCCTCAAGATGGCCTCAGACTGCCCAAAAGGCCCGCAAGAGGCCTCCAAGACGGCCCAAGAGCCCTCCAAGACGTCCTCCGCCCGACTCCGTGTTCCCCGAAGGCTTTCGAAACCCACTCGGGGAACGCGTGGCCCGATCGCTTGGCCAAGCTCAAACCCAACTTTCGGCCACGCAGGCGCTTCCAAAAAGGCAGGGGGCGGCGGTGATTCGCCGTAGGCGTCTTCTATCCGCCGCTCCCTGTTGGCTTGCCACAGGGGTGCCCAGCGTGCTAGATCCTTTCGATGTTGGTTTTGTTTCTTTTCCAAAAGAACTCCCAAGATGGCCTCCCAAGATGGTCACGTAGGCCCAAGATGGCCTCCAAGATGGGCCAACATGGCCTCCAAGATGGCTTCCAAAACGGCCCGAGAGCGTCCAAGATGCCTCCGAGTTCGTCCAGGAAGCCTCCAAGACTCCAAGATGGCCTAAGACTGTCCAAGAGGCCTCCAAGACGTCCTCCAGGAAGGCCCAAAATGGAACAAATCATTGACATTCCTCGGGTGTTCAACGGATTTTAGCATTTTCTTCTTATCAGCTCTCCGACGGCCCAGAACGAACCCAAGAGGCCCCCAACATCGCCCCAAGAGCGCCCAAAAGGCCTGGCCCCGTGACAGGCCAAGAGGCCCCCAAGAGGGCCCCAACAAGACCCCAAGACGGCCCAAGATGGCCCCGACGATGCCGAAGATGGCCTCCAAGACGGCCCAGATGGCCTCCAAGATTTCTCCAAGACGGCCAAGAAGGCCTCCAAGACAGCGAAGATAGCCCCAAGATGCACCCAAGACGGCCCCAGATGGCCTCAAGATGGCCTCAGACTGCCCAAAAGGCCCGCAAGAGGCCTCCAAGACGGCCCAAGAGCCCTCCAAGACGTCCTCCGGGAAGGCCCGAAAGCTCGGAAACCACCTGGGCCGATAACTCGCCCGACTCCGTGTTCCCCGAAGGCTTTCGAAACCCACTCGGGGAACGCGTGGCCCGATAGCTTGGCCAAGCTCAAACCCAACTTTCGGCCACGCAGGCGCTTCCAGAAAGGCGGCAAGGGTTCGCCGTAGGCGTCTCCGATGGTCCGGGCGGAGGTGAGTCGCCGTATGCGTCTTCGATGGTCCAAGACGGCCTCCAGACGGCCCAAGAGGCCCCCACTATACCCAAGAGGCTTCCAAGAGGTCTTCTAACAGAGCTCGAAGAGGCCAAACGAATGCAGTTCCACAGGATTTTGGAACATGTTGGCGTTTCCACCTGTTCCACTTCCCGAAGCTGCAAAAAGCCCAAAGAGGCTCCGAGGATCGCCCGCCCAGTAGGCTTCAAAAGCTCCCCAATACGGCCCAATAGGCTTCAAAAGCGCTGGGCGCACGTCCAAGACGGCCCGAGAGGGCCCCAACCGCGGCCTGGGATCGGGAACGTGAACCGAAAACCCGAGATCTCCGCCCCAGGAGACCCAGGAGGCTTCAAGAGGTCCCCAAGAAGCCCCAAAGAGGCCCAAAAGAGCTCCGAGAGAGGCCCAGAGGGCACTTGAGAAACACAGGAATGCCACCAGTTTTTCCCGGAAAGAGCGTCGAGGGTTTTCATTTAGTATGACGGGAAGCGTCTTCGAGGCACTCGAAGTGAGCTGAATGTTGTGGCTGAATCTGCATCGTATCTAATACATAGAGTTCTTACGAATATAGGGTGGCGAATCGCATTTTATGACGGGAAGCGTCTTCGAGGTACGAGAGGCGAGCTGGACGTTCTGATTGAATATGCAGCATATCTAATGATCTGTTACTAATAGAGGGTGGCAGCTTGTATTTGAATTTTCGTTAACAAAATGCGATCTCTTCGGAGACATCCTCACAACAATGGGATCTTCGCGACATCGCGTTTCACAAAAACAAGCGCTTCGCTCGAGAAATCCTCGAAACATCGATCGCCGCGAAATTCATTCATCTGTGGACATTTGCATTTCGCCTGAGACATTGTCACAAACATGACTTGTCGCCAGAGGTGTTCTACTGCCGCTTATGTTGAAAGCATCGTTCTCGCCAGGAACATCCTCAGAAAATGGTCGGCAGCACCGCGGACTAGAAAAAAGAGCACGGCAGACACATTGCATTTCGTTGGGGACATCCTCGACACAAATGAGATGTTTTCAACATCGTCTTGACATCTTTCTTGAAGTGCTTCAAGAAAAAATGAGAGGCCAAAGAGGACCTCAAGATGGCTCTCAGAGCGCCCTAATGACTGCCGGAAATGACGATTTCGCTAGGGTCATCTTCGAACAAATCCAAAACATACAACAACATCGTTTTGAAATTTGTTGTTCTAACATCGTCTTGGGATCGCTCTTGAAAGGGCTTCCAGACGGCCCACGCCAGGCTTCTAAACATGACAATGTCGTTTGGGACGTCCTCAAAAACGATATGGATGTGACACCGCATGGGCATGTTCTTGACGGCGTCGAGGCAGCCCCAAAAGAGCCCAAACATGACCCCAAGAGCGCCCTCGAGACTCCTGAAGTTTAGCATTTCGCTCGAGACATCCTCACCAAAATGAGTTGTTCGCAACACCGTCTTTCACACTTTCGCCTGAGACATCCACCAGAAAATGGCAACCGCGAGTTGAACAGACGTATGGAAACGGGGATCGCGCCTGAGACATCCTCGCGCAAAAAAAGATGCTGAAACGGTTGCGTTAAGACCACGCGTGTGAAAACTTAGCTTTTCGTTTGGGACCTCTTCAGGAAATTGGCAGGGTCACGGCAGCCCAACACGCAGAAACACGGCAGAACACACAGGAGCATGGCAGAATACACATGATTACTCCGTAGCCTTTTTTGGCTCAAGGCCATGGAGTGCCCGACGACCGCGAGTCGTGCGCGGCGCTCTGAGCTCGAGGGCCTCCGCGCTTTGGGCCAGTGCAAATTCTTGTGCAAAGTCTTGTGTTGGTTCGTGCTCTCACAGCGCGGGGACGTTGCCCAGCGGGCAGCGCGTCTGGCGCCATGGCGAGGTCCCAGCGTGGTGGCAGCAGTGGCAGACGCAGCATGACCTATTGGATGTGCAGCTGCGGGTGCTGGAATTGGGACTGGCGCCCCACGTGCACCAGCTGTGGGTATGCCGCACCGCCCTGGGCTACGGAGGCACCCCGCGGCAAGGCGAAGCCCGGGGCTGACAAGGACGGCTGGGTGGACCAGCCTCGGGGGCGTCGAGCCCAACGGCAGGCCCGCAGCGCAGCGTCGCGCACGGCATCCACCAAGTCGCAGACCTCGGCTTCGGCGGCGAGTGGGGCGCCCAGCAACGGAGGAGTAACGGCGATCGAAAGGCTGCGGGCAACGGTCGAGCGGTTCGAGGCGCTGCAGGCTGGGCCGCCAGACGGCGTCGACAGCTGCTTCACGGACGTCGTGGCCAACCAGCTGGAGGCGAAGAGGGCAGAGCTGGCCATCGCCCAGAAGGAGGCAGCGGAGCAGAAGGCCTCTGCGATGCCGCGGTCGGCTCTGCTGCGCAAGGGGGCGAACGCCATCAGCAAGGAGGAGAAGCGGCTCCGCGCAGCCCGCCAGGCCCCCGAGCAGAAGCAGGCGGCGCGGGACCTCGCGGAGGTCCAGCTGCAGAAGGCCCAGGACGAGCTCGCGGCGCTCGACGGCGAGGTGGAGGGGGCCAGCAAGGCGCTCCAGGTACTCGAGGAGGCAGCCCGTGAAGAGGCGGAGGAGCGGCGGCGCCAGCGCGCAACCGCGTGGGCTGGCGCCAGCCACGTGCCAGGGCTCCTCACGCAGCTGGACATGCTGCCAGAAGCCTGGGGCTCCAGCAACTTCGAAGTGGCATGGGCGGCCATACGTACCCAGGTGGAGGCGGCGCGGGCGCAGCTCGCGGTGCCCCCGCCGGCTCCCGAGCGAGCGCCTTGGGCCGTGTCTTGCCCCATGGACGAGATCAGCAGCGACGATGGCGAGCTCGCAGGCGGCGGCGTGCCTCGGCAGCCTCAGGCCGCAGCAGAGCGCGGCCAAGCCGAGCGGCACGGCAGCGCGCGCGGGGAGTGGCCGCATGTGTCCCAGGCATGCAAGCGGGAGCTTGTCGCGGAGGCCGCGGACCTGGCCCCTCTGGCGGCTCGCCCTGCTGGCCAAGCAGCTGGGGGCAGCGATGGAGGAGTGTAGTCGAGGCAGGTGTGCGCCTAGCTGGGCCAGTGCGTCGGGGCAGCGCCCGCGCGCGAACGGCAGTGCCGAGGAGGTGACGTTGCCCCAGCCCCTAGGCGCCCATGCTGCCATGACGGCCTTCTTTCCCCGGGCTGACGGAGGAGTCCGACCAATTGCGAACGGCCCACTGCCCATGCGCATCTGGGGCAGCCCGAGGCAGCCCACCAGCGCGCTGTGGGGGGCGGAGCACGATCACCGCCTCTTCGGGGGCAAGATGGCCCGCAAGTATGACAAGGCAGGCTGGTGGGGCAGCGCCCGTGCAGCCGTTGCCGCCTGTGCGCGAGTGAGGGGATGTGCCACCGCCAGCCTCTGCCTGGACATCACCAGGCTCTACGAGAACCAGCGGCGCGCCTCCCTGCGGCGGTGCGGAGTCGAGCATGGCTTCGACCTGCGGGCACTTCGAGGCATGCACGTGCTCTACCAGGCGGGCGCTGGAGAGCGCAGGGCTGGGAACTCTTCTGCGAGACCTTGCAAGCCAGGAACCTCTTCATGGGCGCCGCCCCTGCGGGGCGTGAAGTGCATGAGGACCGTGTGCGAGGCCCTGGAGCCGTGCGCCGCGAGCGCGGGTGGCCCCCGCGGTCGGCGCCCTAGGGGCCCCCTGGGGACGCCGCCGCCCAGCGCGCCGAGGCGAGGCCTCAGCCCGCAGACGGCCAAGGATAGCGAGGACTTCACGGCATGGATGCTCGCCACCTTCGCAGGGCCAGTGGTGGAGGAGGCCAGAGTCGACGGCAGCTCCACCGTGGCCTGCCTGCGCAGCAGGGCCACTGCCCATCTGCGGGGCAGGGTCCTGGAGTACCTCGAGCCAGGAACCTTCGAGGAGGAGAAGGTGCCAGCCCACTGCTCGAGGCAGGCCGTGCCTGGCGGGCGCCTGACGGGGGCCAATCGGCGCGACCTCGAGCATGCTGATCGCCTGGCCAAGGCGGGCACCCAGATGCATGCGGTGGACAGGCAGAACGGGCGGGGAGCACCGCGCGCTGGCGGAGACCGTGCTGGAGCTCAGGCGCTGGATCTGGCGGGCAGCCATCTTCTGGCAGAACATCGTGGCCAAGGACTGTGAAGGGCTCCCTCCTGCGGCTGAGCAGCGCCATGTACGCTTCGCTGCTGCAGAGGCGTCGCAGGCGGCAGAGGAGGCCGCTAGCGCCGAGCCGAGGGCCAGGCGGCCGCGCCTGGAGAGCGCACGCTCGGCTGGCAGCAGCTCAGCCGCCCTCTCGGCCAGCTCGATAGCCTTCGGCATCCTGGGACGCGCCCTCTCCTACGCCTGCACTGGAGAAGGTGGCGAAGGCCCAGAGCTCTTGGCGCGCACCAAGTGCGACACCTACGTGGCGTTGGGAGGTCGCTCGGAGCGGTGCCCGGGCGACAAGGCCGATAAGGGGGCAGGACCCGTCGCAGCCTCTGGCTTCGAGGACCCCATCCTGGTGGCAGGAGACAGGAAGGGTCCCGAACAGCCAGGCACAGAGTGGAAGGAGAGGGCATCCTTGCTCGGTACTCGCAGGGATCACTGCCCGAGATTGCGCAGGAGCGGTACCTGGTGCGGCTTGCTTCGCAGCGGAGCACAGCTACCGACCCCTCGGCTGCGGCAAGCACCGCAGGCAGCGCACCTGCTGCGGCCGCGGCGGCCGTCGAGGTGGGGGCCGCCGCCAGCCTGCCTCTGCGGCACCCAGCCGCGGCGAGGGCTGGCCTCAGCGGGGCCATCGCAGTCTCGGAGGAAGGGCCCGCCGCCGCACGGCGCGCAGTGGCCGGCCGCCGTGAGTGAGTGAAAGTGCATCGTTGTGGCCCGCGCCAGATGCTCCGCAGTGCGAGTAGGCTTCCGCCGCTCTCGGTGCCCGCCTGGACTCGGCTTCTTTCGGGGCGGGTCCCCGTCTGGCCCTGCTTTCGTTTTTTGCCTGTGTGGGGGCTCCTGTGTTTTGTCGCAGTTGAGTTCCCGTTGGGCGGTGGCCCGCGGCGGCCCCGCTGGGAGGCCGAGGGGCAGCCCAAGGCGGCCCCCCTCGGGTGGGTGGCCCTGCGGGGCCCCCGCGAGTGGCGGCCCTAGGCGGCCCCTCTCGGGCTTGCGTGTTTGGCCTTTTGGCCCACCACTCCGCCTTGAAGGCCCCGTCTTTAACTTTAACATTAATGCACAGGATTACTCCGTAGCCATTTTGGCACAAGCCTGGCTCGGGCGCGCGCGCGGGCGCTTGGGCACGATGGCGCGGGATGTCGCCCCGTGCGGCGACTGTCGGCCTGGTGCGGGCGGCACCCCTGGCTGGCCATCTTCGGCCGAGCGCCGGGAGGCGCGCAAGGCGGCGGCTGCGGCGGTTGAGGCAGCCGTGCACCGCCTGTCGCACGAGGCGCGGGCCTGGCGCAGGCTCTACGAGGACCTCGCGGCGGCCCTCGGGGCTACGGGCGCGGACGGCGAGCTGAGCAGGCGCTTGGCAGCGGCTGCCCCAGCCTTGGCTGCCCTCATCCGTGGGGGGGTGCCGACTGCGGTCGAGCGCCTGAGACGGAACGTAGCCCTCCATGCGGCAGCCGAGGGCATCGACTTGCTGGACGCTGGGGCTGCGCAGCTCCGCGTGGCGCAGCACGGCCCGAGGCTCGGAGCAAAGTCCGCGGCTCCCGAGGCGGGCGCCTTCGGTGGTGCCTTAGGGGAACGGCGGGGCGATGAGCCTGACGAGAATGTGCGCGCCCTCCTGGCAGGCGCGGAGGCGGCGGGCCCGCTGCCTGCACTGCCCGCTGGGGCGCTGCGTGCTGTGGACCTGGAGAAGGCCCTCTCGGGATCGCGGTTGGCGCCAGGCACGTGGGCCAAGCCGCGCGCCGAGACGGAGTCCTCCGTTTCGGGCCTGGCGGCGGGCTGGCACCTGGCCGAGCGCAAGCCTCAGCTGCCGCCAGAGATGCGTTGCACATGTGGTGCCGCAGTCTTCTCGGCCCCGCCGCTGGCCTCCGAGGCGCCCCTGGCGGCGTGGCAGACGGAGTGCGCCCTGGCGCCGCCGCCGCGCCCAGCGCTCCTGGAGTGCAGGTCAGGGCCAGGTGAGCTTGCCGACGACGCGGAGCCACCCCTGGTCGCGGACAGCGTCGGCAGCGGCGACTGTAAGGTGGTGGTCGGCAGCGCCGAGGCCGCCACGGCCTGCTCGGTCTCGCCGGCACCCTCGGGTCTTGATGTAGGCGTCCTGCGCGACCTCGAGGTGCATCCCGAGGCCCTGGTCGCGGATTGCGTCGGCTGCGCCGCGGAGCACCAGGATGCTGGCGAGTCTTCGCCGCTGCTGCTGTCCGTCAGTGGCCGCCTGGGCGAGGCCGTCAGCCACAACGACAGCGACGACGACAGCGTAGGCGGCCAGGGACAGGGGCATGCCGACTGCGATGCTGCTACTGCCTGCTCCGCCACCGCTGCATCGGCGCTCAGTGGAGTGTTCGCGTACTACCTCGGCGAGAACGAAGCCGCGCTCCTCCGTGGAAACGGAGACGGCGGTCGGGCTGCCGCGAGGCTCGCTGAGCTGGCCCTGCCGACCGAGGACGCCGAGGGCGAAGTGCGGCGATGGCTCGCCGACTGGTCGAAAGTAGCTCACATTTGCTCCCTGCAGGAGCAGCTGCGGGCTGCTAAGAAGGAGGCGCAGCCCCTGCGCTGGAAGGCAGGTTGGCTCGAGATAGATGCCGTCGGGGTGAGGTGCAGGGCAGGCCTACCTTTCGTCCTTGAGGAGTCTGGGGGCCGCCTCGCCTGGCATGATTTTCATTCGTGAGTCTGGTCTCTGAGGCCGCCAGCTGCCAAAGTTGGAAGCCTGACTGAGGGCCATGGATGAAGCCTGGGAGGCCAGCCTCGTGGAGCCAATCGAGGTGGAGCCCTAGGATTTCTTTGAGTCGGGAGATCATTCATCGCCTCATCTTGGAATGGAGATTGGGATCGTGAGTGATTGTTCTGTGAGTTTTGCCTCCTGCATTTGAAGGTGCACGTTGTGTATTTGCAATGCAGTCGAGCTTGGTAGAGATCATGTGTAGCTTCTGTTCTCGCAGTGCTTGCATGATTGGCTTGGGCGGGTTGGGGGCCAGAGCCAATGGCTTTGCCGTCCGCCTTCCCTGGCCCGTGTTGCGAGGTGGCCCTAGGTGGCCCCTCGTGGGAGGGCGTGTGTCGGGTGGCGCTGGTGGCCCCTAGAGGCCCCTCGGTCCTTCTCTTGTTCTCCTGCCGTTACGGCCCCACCAACCAACCAACCAATGCACAGGAGTACGGCATAACCCAAAGAACACACGGGAGCATGGCATAATTAACAGAAGCACAGCAAAACACACGGACGCCCGGCTGAACACAGGAGCGCGTGGAGCGCGGCAGAACACACAGAATACATCGGAGCACGGCAGAACACACAGGAGCATGGCAGAACACGCAGGTGCACGGCAGAACACACAGAACACAGAACATACAGGAACAGGGCAGAACACACAGGAGCACGGCAGAACAGACAGGAGCAATCCGTAGCCATTTTGGTTCAAGCCTGGCTCGGGCGCGCGTGCGCGGGCGCTTGGGCACGATGGCGCGGGATGTCGCCCCGCGTGGCGACTGTCGGCCTGGTGCGGGCGGCACCCCTGGCTGGCCATCTTCGGCCGAGCGTCGGGAGGCGCGCAAGGCGGCGGCTGCGGCGGTTGAGGCAGCCGTGCACCGCCTGTCGCACGAGGCGCGGGCCCGGCGCAGGCTCTACGAGGACCTCGCGGCGGCCCTCGGGGCTACGGGCGCGGACGGCGAGCTGAGCAGGCGCTTGGCAGTGGCTGCCCCAGCCTTGGCTGCCCTCATCCGTGGGGGGGCGCCGACTGCGGTCGAGCGCCTGAGACGGAACGTAGCCCTCCACGCGGCAGCCGAGGGCATCGACTTGCTGGACGCTGGGGCTGCGCAGCTCCGCGTGGCGCAGCACGGCCCGAGGCTCGGAGCAAAGTCCGCGGCCCCCGAGGCGGGCGCCTTCGGTGGTGCCTTAGGGGAACGGCGGGGCGATGAGCCTGACGAGAATGTGTGCGCCCTTCTGGCAGGCGCGGAGGCGGCGGGCCCGCTTCCTGCACTGCCCGCTGGGGCGCTGCGCGCTGTGGACCTGGAGAAGGCCCTCTCGGGATCGCGGTGGGCGCCAGGCGTGTGGGCCAAGCCGCGCGCCGAGACGGGGCCCTTCGTTTCGGGCCTGGCGGCGGGCTGGCACCTGGCCGAGCGCAAGCCTCAGCTGCCGCCAGGGATGCGTTGCACATGTGGTGCCGTAGTCTTCTCGGCCCCGCCGCTGGCCTCCGAGGCGCCCCTGGCGGCGCGGCAGACGGAGTGCGCCTTGGCGCCGCCGCCGCGCCCAGCGCCCCTGGAGTGCAGGTCAGGGCCAGGCGAGCTTGCCGACGACGCGGAGCCACCCCTGGTCGCGGACAGCGTCGACAGCGGCGACTACAAGGTGGCGGTCGGCAGCGCCGAGGCCGCCACGGCCTGCTCGGCCTCGCCGGCCCCCTCGGATCCTGATGTAGGCGTCTTGCGCGACCTCGAGATGCATCCCGAGGCCCTGGTCGCGGACTGCGTCGGCTGCGCCGCGGAGCACCAGGATGCCGGCGAGTCCTCGCCGCTGCTGCTGTCCGTCAGTGGCCGCCTGGGCGAGGCCGTCAGCCACAACGACAGCGACGACGGCAGCGTAGGCGGCCAGGGACAGGCGCACACCGACTGCGACGCTGCTACTGCCTGCTCCGCCACCGTTGCATCGGCGCTCAGTGGAGTGTTTGCGTACTACCTCGGCGAGAACGAAGCCGCACTCCTCCGTGGAGACGGAGACGGCGGTCGGGCTGCCGCGAGGCTCGCTGAGCTGGCCCTGCCGACCGAGGACGCCGAGGGCGAAGTGCGGCGATGGCTCGCCGACTGGTCGAAAGTAGCTCACATTTGCTCCCTGCAGGAGCAGCTGCGGGCTGCTAAGAAGGAGGCGCAGCTCCTGCGCTGGAAGGCAGGTTGGCTCGAGATAGATGCCGTCAGGGTGAGATGCAGGGCAGGCCTACCTTTCGTCCTTGAGGAGTCTGGGGGCCGCCTCGCCTGGCATGATTTTCATTCGTGAGTCTGGTCTCTGAGGCCGCCAGCTGCCAAAGTTGGAAGCCTGACTGAGGGCCATGGATGAAGCCTGGGAGGCCAGCCTCGTGGAGCCAATCGAGGTGGAGCCCTGGGATTTCTCTGAGTCGGGAGATCATTCATCGCCTCATCTTGGAATGGAGATTGGGATCGTGAGTGATTGTTCTGTGAGTTTTGCCTCCTGCATTTGAAGGTGCACGTGTTGTATTTGCAATGCAGTCGAGCTTGGTAGTGATCATGTGTAGCTTCTGTTCTCGCAGTGCTTGCATGATTGGCTTGGGCGGGTTGGGGGCCAGAGCCAATGGCTTTGCCGTCCGCCTTCCCTGGCCCGTGTTGTGAGGTGGCCCTAGGTGGCCCCTCGTGGGAGGGCGTGTGTCGGGTGGCGCTGGTGGCCCCTGGAGGCCCCTCGGTCCTTTTCTTGCTTTCCTGCCTTTAAGGCCCCACCAACCAACCAACCAATACACAGGAGTACGGCAGAACCCAAAGAACACACGGGAGCATGGCATAATAAACAGAAGCACAGCAGAACACACGGAAGCCCGGCTGAACACAGGAGCGCGCGGAGCGCGGCAGAACACACAGAATACATAGGAGCACGGCAGAACACAAAGGAGCATGGCAGAACACGCAGGTGCACGGCAGAACACACAGAACACAGAACATACAGGAACATGGCAGAACACACAGGAGCACGGCAGAACAGACAGGAGCAATCCGTAGCCATTTTGGTTCAAGCCTGGCTCGGGCGCGCGTGCGCGGGCGCTTGGGCACGATGGCGCGGGATGTCGCCCCGCGTGGCGACTGTCGGCCTGGCGCGGGCGGCGCCCCTGGCTGGCCATCTTCGGCCAAGCGTCGGGGGGCGCGCAAGGCGGCGGCTGCGGCGGTTGAGGCAGCCGTGCACCGCCTGTCGCACGAGGCGCGGGCCTGGCGCAGGCTCTACGAGGACCTCGCGGCGGCCCTCGGGGCTACGGGCGCGGACGGCGAGCTGAGCAGGCGCTTGGCAGTGGCTGCCCCAGCCTTGGCTGCCCTCATCCGTGGGGAGGTGCCGACTGCGGTCGAGCGCCTGAGACGGAACGTAGCCCTCCATGCGGCAGCCGAGGGCATCGACTTGCTGGACGCTGGGGCTGCGCAGCTCCGCGTGGCGCAGCACGGCCCGAGGCTCGGAGCAAAGTCCGCGGCCCCCGAGGCGGGCGCCTTCGGTGGTGCCTTAGGGGAACGGCGGGGCGATGAGCCTGACGAGAATGTGTGCGCCCTTCTGGCAGGCGCGGAGGCGGCGGGCCCGCTTCCTGCACTGCCCGCTGGGGCGCTGCGCGCTGTGGACCTGGAGAAGGCCCTCTCGGGATCGCGGTGGGCGCCAGGCGCGTGGGCCAAGCCGCGCGCCGAGACGGGGCCCTTCGTTTCGGGCCTGGCGGCGGGCTGGCACCTGGCCGAGCGCAAGCCTCAGCTGCTACCAGGGATGCGTTGCACATGTGGTGCCGTAGTCTTCCCGGCCCCGCCGCTGGCCTCCGAGGCGCCCCTGGCGGCGCGGCAGACGGAGTGCGCCTTGGCGCCGCCGCCGCGCCCAGCGCCCCTGGAGTGCAGGTCAGGGCCAGGCGAGCTTGCCGACGACGCGGAGCCACCCCTGGTCGCGGACAGCGTCGACAGCGGCGACTACAAGGTGGTGGTCGGCAGCGCCGAGGCCGCCACGGCCTGCTCGGCCTCGCCGGCCCCCTCGGATCCTGATGTAGGCGTCCTGCGCGACCTCGAGGTGCATCCCGAGGCCCTGGTCGCGGACTGCGTCGGCTGCGCCGCGGAGCACCATGATGCCGGCGAGTCCTCGCCGCTGCTGCTGTCCGTCAGTGCCCGCCTGGGCGAGGCCGTCAGCCACAACGACAGCGACGACGACAGCGTAGGCGGCCAGGGACAGGAGCACACCGACTGCGACGCTGCTACTGCCTGCTCCGCCACCGCTGCATCGGCGCTCAGTGGAGTGTTCGCGTACTACCTCGGCGAGAACGAAGCCGCACTCCTCCGTGGAGACGGAGACGGCGGTCGGGCTGCCGCGAGGCTCGCTGAGCTGGCCCTGCCGACCGAGGACGCCGAGGGCGAAGTGCGGCGATGGCTCGCCGACTGGTCGAAAGTAGCTCACATTTGCTCCCTGCAGGAGCAGCTGCGGGCTGCTAAGAAGGAGGCGCAGCTCCTGCGCTGGAAGGCAGGTTGGCTCGAGATAGATGCCGTCGGGGTGAGATGCAGGGCAGGCCGACCTTTCGTCCTTGAGGAGTCTGGGGGCCGCCTCGCCTGGCATGATTTTCATTCGTGAGTCTGGTCTCTGAGGCCGCCAGCTGCCAAAGTTGGAAGCCTGACTGAGGGCTAGAGATGAAGCCTGGGAGGCCAGCCTCGTGGAGTCAATCGAGGTGGAGCCCTAGGATTTCTTTGAGTCGGGAGATCATTCATCGCCTCGTCTTGGAATGGAGATTGGGATCGTGAGTGATTGTTCTGTGAGTTTTGCCTCCTGCATTTGATTGTGCACGTTGTGTATTTGCAATGCAGTCGAGCTTGGTCGTGATCATGTGTAGCTTCTGTTCTCGCAGTGCTTGCGTGATTGGCTTGGGCGGATTGGGGGCCAGAGCCAGTGGCTTTGCCGTCCGCCTTCCTTGGCCCGTGTTGTGAGGTGGCCCTAGGTGGCCCCTCGTGGGAGGGCGTGTGTCGGGTGGCGCTGGTGCCCCCTGGAGGCCCCTCGGTCCTTTTCTTGTTTTCCTGCCTTTAAGGCCCCGCCAACCAACCAACATACAGGAGCACGGCAGAGCACGGCAGAGCACGGCAGAAGCATGAACACGGCAGAACACACACACACACAAAACACGTAGGACGACGGCAGAACTAGCAGGAGCGCGGCAGAACACACAGGACGGCAATATACATAGGAGCACGGCAGAACACATAGGTGCACGGCAGGACTGACGGCAGAACACGCAGTAGCACGGCAGAAGACATATGAGCACGGCAGAACACGCAGGATCACAAGGAGCGCGGCAGATCATACAGAGTACTTAGGAGCACGGCAGAACACACAGGAGCACGGCAGAACACATAGGAGCGCGGCAGATCACATACAGCACATAGGAGCACGGCAGAACAACCGGCAGCATGGCAGAACACACAGGAGCACGGCAGAACACATGAGGCACATTCCGTAGCCATTTTGGCTCAAGGCCATGGAGAGCCCGACGACCGCAAGTCGTTCGCGGCGTTCTGAGCGCGAGGGTCTCCGCGCTTTGGGCCAGTGCAATTTCTTGTTGTGCTCCCTGCTCTCGCAGCGTGGGGGCGTGGCCCTGCGGGCGGCGCAGCGGGCGCCATGGCGAGGTCCCAGCGTGGCGGCAGCAGTGGCAGGCGCAGCAGGACCTATTGGATGTGCAGCTGCGTTTGTTGGAACTGGGACTGGCGCTCCACGTGTCTCAGCTGTGGGCATGCCGCGCCGCCCTGGGCGCTGGGATCACCCCACGACAAGGCGAAGCCCGAGGCAGACAAGGACGGCTGGGCGGACCAGCCTCGGGGGCGCCGAGCCCAGCGGCAGGCCCGCGGCGCAGCATCGCGCGCGGCATCCACCAAGTCGCAGACCTCGGCTTCAGCGGCGAGCGGGGCGCCCAGCGGCGGAGGAGTCACGGCGATCGAGAGGCTGCAGGCAACGGTCGAGCGGCTCGAGGCGCTGCAGGCTGGGCCACCCGACGGCGTCGACAGCTGCTTCACTGGCGTCGTGGCCAACCAGCTGGGGGCGAAGAGGGCAGAATTGGCCAGCGCCCAGAAGGAGGCAGCGGAGCAGAAGGCCTCCACAATGCCGAGGTCTGCTCTGCTGCACAGGGAGGCGAACGCCATCAGCAAGGAAGAGAAGCGACTCCGCTCGGCCCGCCAGGCCCTTCAGCAGAAGCAGGCGGCGCGGGGCCTCGCGGAGGTCCAGCTCCAGAAAGCCCAGGACGAGCTCGCGGCGCTCGACGGCGAGGTGGAGGAGGCCAGCAGGGCGCTCCAAGTCCTCGAAGAAGCAGCCCGTGAGGAGGCGGAGGCGCGGCGGCGCCAGCGGGCAGCCGAGTGGGCTGGAGCCGGCCATGTGCCAGGGCTCCTCACGCATCTGGACAAGCTGCCAGAGGCCTGGGGCTCCAGCAACTTCGAGGTGGCATGGGCGGCCATTCGCACCCAGGTGGAGGCGGTGCGGGCGCGGCTCGCAGTGCCCCCGTCAGCCCCCGAGCGAGCGCCGTGGGCCGAGTCCTGCCCCATGGACGAGATCAGCAGCGACGACAGCGAGCTCGCAGGCGGCAGCGGGCCCTGGCAGCCGCAGCCCGCTGCGGAACGTGGCCAAGCCGAGCGGCATGGCAGCGCGCTCGGCGAGTGGCCGCAAGTGTCCCAGGCATGCAAGAGGGAGCTGGTCGCTGAGGCTGCGGACCTGGCCCCTCTGGCTGCTCGCCCTGCTGGCCACGCAGCTGGGAGTAGCGTCGGAGGAGCGCAGCCAGGGCAGACGAGCGCCTAGCGGGGCCAGTGCGGCGGGACAACGCCTGCGCGCGAGCAGCAGCGCCGAGGTGGCCTGCGGCGGCAGCAAGCGGCGTCGCGACCTCGGGAGCGGGCCGGCCCCACCGGCGCCAAGCCAGGCCTCTGCGGCGGCTCAGGGCTTCCGCTGCGGGCGGGAGGCGTTCGGGAGGCGCGGCGGCGCCAGGAGGAGGAGCTTGGAGGTGGCTGGGGCCTCCGTCAGTCGGCACGGAGCCAAGCCCAGCCAGGTGCGGCTCCAGGAGGCCAACGACGCCCCGCGCCGCCCAGAGGAGGCCAGAGGAGCTGCGCGCAGCAGGTGGTGCACTGTCTCCCTCCGCCCGTTCGCGCCCTCGGACATGGAGAGGCCGTCGGTTTATGCAGGCAGCGTCGTCGATTCGGTTCGCTGCGCCCTGCGGGCAGTGAAGGTTGCCTGGCAGGTCCCGAGCGGCCTCCAGCATCGCATGGTCGAGGTCACAGTGCACGCCGCATCAGGCCTGGGGCGGCTGGCCTGCTCGCAGAAGGGCGTCATGGACCTCCTGGCGGCTCAGGAGGCGCGGCCCCAGCCCCTGGGCGCCCGTGCAGCCATGCTGGTCTTCTTTCCCGAGTCGGATGGAGGAGCTCGACCGCTCGCGAACGCCCCACTGCCCATGCGCATCCCATGCGCATCTGGGGCCGCCCGAGGCAGCCCATCGGCGCGCTGTGGGAGGCGGAGCACGACCGCCGCTTCTCCAGGGGCAAGATGGACCGCGAGTGCGAGAAGGCTGGCTGGCTGCACAACGCCTGCGCCGCTCTTGCGTGTGCGAGGGGGTGCGCCTCCGCCAGCCTCCGCCTGGACATCGCCACGCTCTACGTGAGCCTGCGGCGCGGCTTCCTGCGGCGGTGCGGAGTCGAGCATGGCTTCGACCTGCGGGTATTTCGAGGTCTGCACGTGCTCTACCAGAGGCCGCGTATCCTCCGCTTCGTTGGCCTGGCCACCGAGTCGTTCGCCTCCCAGCAGGGGGCGCTGGGCTGGAAGTGGTTCGCCTCCTCCGTGTTCCGCTTCCTCCCCCTCGGTGCTGCCGAGGCCCCCGTCCGCGCCGTGAGGCCCTTTGGAGCGCGGCAGCCTGGCGGGCACTGGGAGGCGCAGGGCTGGACCTTCTGTAAGACCTTGCAGGCCAGGAACCTCGGCACGGGCGCCGCCATCGCGGGGCGAAGAGTGCACGAGGGCCGTGTACGAGCTCCTGGAGCCGTGCGCCGTGCGCGCGGGCCGCCTTCGTGCCGCGGGAGTGGAGCTGGACCTGATCCACAAGGCTGGGCCTGCGGCCAGCGCGGTGTGGGGCCGCTCGGGGCGCTCGGGAACCGCGGGGGGCGCCGCCGTCAGGCGCGTTGCGGCCGCCGTCCGTGAGTGAGTGAAAATCGGCATCGGTGAGGCTCGCGCCTGTTGCTCCCTGTGGTGAGTAGGCCCGCGCTGCCCTCGGTGCTCTCGGGGGCTCCCGTCTGGCCCTACCCGTAATTAGTCGTGCACGCCCGACGCCTTCAAGGCCCCGTCTGTACACTTTGAACTTTAAACACATAGGAGCACGGCAAGGCAGGGCCATGGGAGAACACACAGGAGCACGGCAGAACACATAGGAGCACGGCAGAGCAGAACCATAGCAGAATACACAGGAGCACGGCAGAACACACAGGAGCACGGCAGAACACGCAGGAGCACGGCAGAACACATAGACCATCTATTCACACAGCCGCACCCACAAGCCCACGCACATAGGCACACGCACATAGGCACACGCACACGCACACGCACATACATACGCACACATGGACACACACACACACGCACACACACACACACACGCACACATGCACAGGGAGGCAACATACTTTCACGCAGACCGCAGGAGCACGGCAGGGCAGCACGGCATAACACAGCAGCGCCGCAGACCCCCACGCGCGGACACACATGCATATATTCTACGCACGCACGTGCACGCGCAAACGCACGCACGCCACGAAAGACTTGCGCAGCGTATACTCAGAACGTAGGATTTCCCATAAGCCCAGGACACAAAAAGGACGCTTCCCGTTCTTGTCCGGTCAGGTTTTTCGTAAGCAGATCCCTTCAAAGAAGCAATGTTGCTCGAGACATCCGCACACACATGAGATCTTCGCGACATCGCGTTTCACAACGACAAGCGTTTCGCTCGAGACATCCTCGAACATTTGGTCGCGGCGAAATTCATTCATCTATGCAAATTTGCGTTTCGCTTGAGATACCCTTACAACAATGACATGTCTCCAGGGGTGTTTTACGGCCGCTTATGTTGAACGCAGCGTTCTCGCTAGGGACATCCTCAGAACATACTAGGCAGCACGGCTGGCCAGAAAAATGAGCGCGGCAGAACTTTTTCATTTCGTATGTGGCAGCCGCAAGCAAATTAGATGTTCTCAGCATCGTCTTGATATCGTTCCTGAAGTGCTTCCAGAGGAAGAAATGCGAGACCAAAGAGGACCTCAATATGGCTCCAAGAGCGCCCTGCTGACTGCCGAAAATGATGATTTCGCTGGGGTCATCTTCAACACATGAAAAAAATAACAGCATCGTTTTGAAATTGCTGTTCTAACCTCGTCTTGGGATCGCGCTTGAGAGGGCTTCCAGACGGCCCGAGCCAGGCTTCTAAACATGACGATGTCGGTAGGGACATCCTCAAAACGATTTGTGCGCGACACCGCATGGGCATGTTCTTGACGGCGTCGAGGCAACCCCAAACGAGCAAACGAGGCCCAATATAACCCCAAGAGCGCCCTCGAGATTTCTCAACTTTAGCATTTCGCCCGAGACATCCTCACCATGCTGAGTTGTTCGCAGCACCGTCTTTCACACAAACAAGCATTTCGCCTCAGACATCCAGCAAAAGACAACCGCGAATTCAACAAACGTATGGAAATGGGGATATTGCTTGGGACATCCTCGAAGCATGAGATGCTCAAAAGGTTGGTTTAAGATCATGCGTGTTAACACTAAGCATTTCGCTTGAGACACCTTCGGGAAATGGGCGGGATAACTGCAGCCCAACACGCAGAAGCACTGCAGAACGCGCCAGAGCACGGCAGAACACACAGGAGCACGGCATAACACACAGGAGCACGGCAGAACCCAAAGAACACTTTGGAGCATTGGAGAATAAACAGGAGCACAGCATAACCCACAGGAGCACGGCAGAACACACAGGAGCACGAGGAGCACGGCAACACACTCAGGAGCACGACAGAACACGCAGGCGCACGGCAGATCACACGGCAGAACACACAGGAGCACGGCAGAATTCAGGAGCAGGGGTCCGTAGCAATTTTGGCTCAAGGCCATGGAGCACCCGACGACCGCAAGTCGTCCGCGGCGTTCCGAGCGCGAGGGTCTCCTCGCTTTGGGCCAGTGCATTTCTTTGTCTCGCTCCCTGTTGTCGCAGCGCGGAGGCGCGACCTGTCGGCCAGCGCGGCAGAGGCCATGGCGCGCTCCTCGCGTGCCGGCGGCAGTGGCAGCAGGCGCAGCAAGACGTACTGGATGCGCAGCTGCGGTGGTTGGAACTGGGACTGGCGCACCACGCGCCTCGGCTGTGGATGGGCGGCGCCGCCATGGGCGCTGGAGGCAGCAGCGGCCAGAGCCAGGCCCCAGGCTGATCAGGGCGGCTGGGTGGATCAGCCGCGCGGGCGCCGTGCCCAGCGGCAGGCCCTCAGTTCTGCAACGAGTGCGGCCTCCGCTAAGTCGCAGACCTCGGCGTCGGGCGACAGTGGGACACCCAGCGGCAGCGGCGCCACGGCGATCGAGAGGCTGCAAGCGGCAGTCGAGCAGCTGGAGGCGCTGCAGGCGGAGCCGCCCGACGGGGTCGACAGCTGCTTCACCGACGTCGTTGCCAGCCAGCTGGAAGCCAAGCGCGCCGAGCTGATCGAGGCCCAGCGGGCAGCAGCGGAGCAGAAGGCGTCCTCCATGCCGCTGTCGACGCTGCTCCATAAGGAGGCGAACGCCATCAGCAAGGCTGAGAAGCGGCTCCGAGCAGCGCGCCAGAGCCGGGATCAGAAGCAGGCGGCGCGTGACCTCGCCGAGGCCCAGCTCCAGAAGGCCCAGGAGGAGGTGGCGCAGCCCGACGCGGAGGTTGAGCAGGCCACCCGTGCACTCCGTGCCCTCGAGGAGGAAGCCCGAGTGGAGGCCGAGGCGCAGCGGCGCCAGCGCGCGGCCGAGCGGGCAGGATCCAGCCAGGTCCTTGGGCTCCTCATGCAGCTGGACAAGCTGCCCGAGGCTAGGGGCTCCAGCATCTTCGAGGTGGCGTGGGCAGCCATTCGTGCCCAGGTGGAGCCTGTGCGTGCGCAGCTCGCTCAGGCCCCTGCGGCCCCGAGGAGAGCGTCATGGGCTGTGTCTTGCCCCATGGGCGAGGTCAGCAGCGAGGACGGCGACCGCGCAGGAGGCAGCGAGCCCTGGCAGCCGCAGAGCGCCGCCGAGCGCGGCCCGGCCGAGCGTGGCGGCGACGCCCGCGGCGAGTGGCCGAAGGTCGCCCAGGCGTGCAAGCGGGAGCTGGTGGCCGAGGCTGCAGACCTGGCCCCTCTTGCTTCTCGCCCTGCTGGCCGCGCCGCTGGGAGCTGCGGCAGAGGTGCGAGGCCAGGGCAGTCGTGCGCTCAGCCACGCCAGGGCGGCGGAGCCGAGGCAGCGAGCGGGCGGCGGCGCCGATGCGGCCCGCATTGGCGGCAGGCGGCCCCTCGACCTCGGGAGTGCGCAGGGCCCACCGGCGCCAGGCCAAGCAGCAACGGCGGCTCGGGACGTCCGCTGCGGGCTGGAGGTGCTCGGGATCAACGGCAACACCTGGAGGAGGAGCCTGGAGGTGATCGAGGCCTTTGTCTCTCGTCACGGGGCCCTGCCGCACCTGGTGATGCTCCAGGAGACCCGTCTGGCTCCGCACCGCCTGGAGGGGCCAGAGGAGCGGCGCGCGTATACGGCTTTCCTCCACGCAGCGGCGCCCGCGGACAAAGAAGGCCCGCTGGCGAACTCAGGCGGCGTTGCGGCCCTGGTGCGCAGCGACCTGCAGGCAGCGGAGATAGCCTGGCAGGTTCCGAGCGACCTGATGCATCGCATGGTTGGAGTCACAGTGTACACCGCGTCACGCCTGCAGCTCCTGGCGCGCTCGCTGTATCTGCAGGACGCCTTGGGGCCCAAGGGCATCAACCTCGACCTCTTCGCCGCCTTCGGCGACATGGTGCTCTCCGCAGGCATGCCCTGGCTTGCACAGGGCGACTTCAACATGGAGCCAGGCACGCTGCACGAGTTGGGATGGCCCAGAGTGCAGCGCGGCACGTACCTGGGGCCCTCCGAGTGCACATGCGTAGCCCAAGGTGCCGAGCATGTGTACGACTGGTTTGCGAGCTCCTTCTGCCTGGCCCATGGGGTCCGAGAGGCCTCAGCTCTGGATGGCTTTGGGCTGTATCCCCACAAGCCTGTGAGGCTGCTGCTGCAGGACGTGAGACCAGATGCCCTGGTGCAGGTGCTGGTTCGCCCTGGTCGTTTCCCTGATGTTGAGGCCGCAGCTTGCCGACCTCGCGATATGCTGCAGTCCAGGTGCACCGCCGCGTTGGGCGCGCTCGCTGGCAGGTGGAGCCCTGCCTTTGGTCCTGGGAGGTGGGCTCCCGGCCGAGTGGCCCCCGCGAAGCAGCTCGGCAGTGGATCCAAGTCGTTGAGAGCACCTTGGTGGAGATCCGCGGCATCGGCGACGGCGACCTGCACAGGTACCTGTGGCGGTCCGAAGGGCCCAAGATAGTCCTCAAGCCCCCCAGCGCCGTGGTCAAGCGCGAGTGCCGCCACCGACACTCGGCCCTCACCCACGCCATTCGCCAGGCCCTCGACGTAGCGCTCCAGAGGCTCACTGCTGACAGGACGCAGCGTTGGCAGCCTGCGCACGAGGCCTGGCACGCGCGGCAGGTGGAGCGGGTCCTCGCCGATGTGGAGTCAGCCACCGTAGCGGCTTGCGAGGAGGACGAAGTGGAGGCCCTCGAGTTCGACACTAGCGAGTGGGGCGACCTCATTGGCCAAGCTGGTGTACATGGGGACCCTGAGGCAATTGCAGTGCTGCAGCGGCGCCTCGCGAGCTCCCAGAAGCGCGATGGCTGCAAGAGCTCGGCCCCCTGGAGAGCATGGGCCAAGGAGGCCGTGCAGAAGGGCGGCAGGCTCGCCCACAGGTTTGCCAAGGCTGTGCCGCCCCCGCAGGTGGTGGACCCAGATACTGGCAGACGTTTGGCAGGCATGCTGGCAGCCGGGCAGCTGGAGGCCAATTGGCAGGCCTGCTGGCAGCAGGAGGGCTTCAGGGCTGGAGCTGGAGTCGGGAGCTGGGACGTCCGAGGCTGGACGCTGCCGCCCCTCAGCCTGGAGATGTTGCAGGCTGTGTGCAAGCGCTACTCGCCGACGGCGGGCCTGGGCGCTGACCAGCTCCACCCGCGGCAGCTGCTGCTGCTCCCCGTGGCCCTGCAGTTGCGCTGCCTGGACCTCCTGGCGGCCTACGAGGGGCAGCCCCAGGCCCTGGGCGCCCAGGCCACCATGATGGTCTTCATTCCCAAGTCGGACGGTGGGGTCCGGCCGATCGCGCTGACCCCGCTGCTCATGCGCATCTGGAGCCGCCTGAGGCAACCAATTTGTGCGCTGTGCGAGGCGGAGCATGACTACCGTTTCTTCTGGGGCAAGGCCGACCGCGGGTGCGAGAAGGCAGGGTGGCTGCACAACGCTTTTGCCGCCTTCGCGCGGGAGAATGGGTTTGCCGCCGCCAGCCTCTTTTTGGACATCACCAACTTCCACGAGAACCTGCGGCACGACGTCCTGTGGCAGTGCGGGGTCGAGCATGGCTTCAACTTGAAGCTGCTGCGAGGCCTGCTTCGTGCTCTACCAGAGCCCGCGTTTCATTTGCTTCGTGGACCTGGCCACCGAGTCGCCCACCACCAACGGGACGGTTTTGGCGGGGTGTGCATGTGTAACCACTGTGGCCAAGCTGCCTGTGCTTGCGGCCCTCCGTGCTGCCTCAGCGGGTGGCAGGCCACTGGTGGTCGCGCGCAACGTCGTCGACGACATCGCGCTGCAGGCAGTCGGCACGGAGCGGCTGGTCGCCGCACAGCCGGGCAGCGCTGGGCTGGAAGTGGCCCGCGTCCTCCGCGACCAGCAACTGCCCACCAGTGCCGCCAAGACGACTTTCCTCGCCTCGAGCCCCAGCCTTGGACGCCAGCTCGGCGAGTACTGGAGGTCGCAGGGCTGGACCTTCCGTAAGACCTTGCAGGCCAGGAACCTCGGCACGGACGCCACCATCACAAGGCGAGGAGTGCATGAGGGCCGAGTACGTGCTGCTGGAGCGCTTCGCCGAGCACGCAGGCTGGGCTGCCTTCGTTCCGCTGGCGCTGCCTGCGTTCCCTCCCCCGCCAGGTGTTTGGCTGGTCGCTGACCCACTGGCCGGGGCGAGGGCCTTCCGGGAGGGCTTCCGCGCGGGCTGGCGCCTTGCTGGGGCGGCCTCCGGCGCTCCGCGGGGCGGCGACGGCGTGGTGCTGCAGGGGCAGTGCGTGCCCTCCTCGTCCTTCCGTGGAGTATGGGAGGTCTGCAGCGACGGTGCGTGCGGCGGCGGGCAGGCTACCCCTGCCGCCAGGGCAGAGCCTGGCCCTCCCCGTGAGGGGGTTTGGAAGGCAGGCGCGGCGATGGAGGAGGGCGGCCTGGCCGCCCTCCATGCGCCGTGCCGTGCGATCGATGGCGTGCAAAGGCGGCACTGCAGGCGAGAGAGCGCCGCGGCCGCCGCTGCTTCTGGAGAGCCTGGCGGGCCCAGGCAGCGACGACGGCTTCGTTGACGGCTGTTTGGACGGCCCCGTCGACGGCGACGCGGACGGGGACGCGGCCTGCCCTGGGCCCCCCGCCCGTTCGGAGCCCGACAACCACGTCCTGGAGTATCTGGACCGCTTCGGCGCGGCGGTGCTGAGCGGCAGCACGGCCTTGGAGCTGGCGAGGGGCACCGCTGGTTCCGAACGGGCAGCCGCTGCGGCGAGTGCCGAGCGGTTCCGCCCTTTCCTCGATGAGTTCGGCTTGGCCGCGGTGGCTGCTGCGGCCCGCGGGCCGCTCTCGGGGGTGGAATCGCTCCTGGACCTCGCTGAGGGCCGCGCCGAGGATTGGCTTCTGCAGCGTGAGCGTGCACTCGGTGACAGGGCAGAGGTCGAAGCCCGCGCTGAGAGTTCACCGTTGCAGAAGGGAGTTCTTAGTGATTCTTTATCAAGGTGATTGCTTTGAGGTGGATGGTCAGTGATCGCTTCTGGCCTGTGCTGTCCTCGCACCTTGATGCTGGGAACTGGGAGTCGTGAGTGAAGCCTCCTGTACTTGAATGTGCACGCTGTGTATTTGCAATGCAGTCGAGTTCGCTCTGGCGCAGAAGTGCGCGAGGCGGGCAGTTGCATTATGTGTGTAGATATGTTCTCGACTTGTGGTGCGCCCGCGGTGGAGGCCCAGTGCGGCCCCCGCGGGGAGAGGCGGCCCTAGGCGGCCCCTCTCGGGAGGGCGTGTCTCGGGTGGCGCTTGGTGCCCCTGGAGGCCCCTCGGTCTCTTTTTTCTTTGTCCTGCCTTGAAGGTCCAACCAACCCAACACATAGGAGCACGGCAGAGCAGAACCATGGCAGAATACACACGAGCACGACAGAACACACAGGAGCACGGCAGAACACGCAGAAGAACGGCAGAACACATCGAAGATCGAATCACACAGCCGCACCCACAGGCACACGCACATAGGCACACGCACCCACGCACACGCACACGCACACGCGCACACATACTCATACACACACGCACGCACAGACACACACACACACACACACACACACACACACACACACACACACACACACACACGCACAGAGAGGCAACATACTTTCACGCAGACCGCAGGAGTACGGCAGGGCAGCACGGCATAGCACAGCACTGCCGCAGGCCACTACGTACGGACACACATGCACATATTCCACGCGCGAACGCGCACGCGCAAACGCACGCACGCCACGACAGACTTGCGCAGCGTATGTTCAGGGCGTAGGGTATCTCGTAAGCCCAGGACACAAAAGGATGCTTCCCGTTCTTGTTCAGTGAGGTTGTTCTCCCTCGGTGCCATGCTTGAAGGAGACCGGCGAATTTCCGTTCGATCAAAAAAAAACAAGGTGAAATCCAATTCGGCGTGGAAAAAATGCGTGTCGCGCGTGCCCGCTCGAAGACATAATCAATGTGGGAATGTTGACTTTTTGCGTGCCCGCTCGAGGATGGCGCGTCCTACGCGCAGAAATTCTGGGGATGTCTCGAGCGAACCGCTCTTTTTCCAAACTTTGACGGGCCAGGGCGCTCCAGGATGCTCAGGGGGTTCTGGGAGAGCAGATCCAGCGTAATTTGAAAGGATCGCGGCCTCGGGAGCGCAATTTTAACATTATTTACGAGGGCTCGGGGCCGTGGGGGCGTGGATCCAAAGTATTTCCCAATATCTTAAGATGGTGTGCTTGTTATTACTTGGACGCCTCCTACTCCTTCCTCCTCTTCTTTTCCTCCTCATCCTCCTCATACCCAGACTTACTCATACACAGACGTACGCAAACCCATACCTAATCATATTCACCCGCTTAAATCCATACCCAATCATAGTCATACCCAATCCCATTCGTACTCGTGTGCATGCTTTGCGGTACATCTCGTTACCTCCAACTTGTAGATTCACTCCTAGTCGGACTTACTCATGCTGAGACTCACTCATACCCCAGATTTCCTCATACACTGACTCGTTCCCAGACGTATTCATACGCAGACTTACCCCTACTCAGTCCTACTCATACTCAGATCTTCTCATTGTCTGACGTACTCAACACATAGCATATTGTCAGAATGTCCCAGGCGGGGCGATGGTTTCAGCACCCCCAAGGGGAGCCGCCAAGGGTGTTTTCATTGTCCCGTTCGCAGCACTGTTATAAGGATTTTTCAAGCGGTTTGCTTGTTTTCTGTCTCAACATCCTTGGCTATCACAGCAGATTCTGAGGAAGTCTCAGGCGGGACGTTGGTTTCAGCACCCCCAAGGGGAGCACCCAGGGGTGTTTTCACGGTCCCGTTCGCAGCAATGTTATAAGGATTTGTCAAGTGGTTTGTCTGCTTTCGGTCTCAACATCCTTGGCTATCGCAGCAGATTCTGAGGAAGTCTCAGGCGGGACGCTGGTTTCAGCACCCCCAAGGGGAGCCCCCAGGGGTGTTTTCACGGTCCCGTTCGCAGCAATTTTGCTGTGATGTCTCAAGCGGTCTGATTGTTTTCTGTCTCAACATTTTTCGCTTGGAGATCAGATTCTGAGGATGTCTCGATGTCTCAGGCGGGGCGCTGGCTTCAGCTACCTAAGAGGAACCGCCGTGGGGTAGTGCACGGTCCCGCTCGCGGCCGTTTTGTGGGGATGTCTCAAGCGGTTTGCTTGTTTTCTGTCTCAACATCCTTCGCTTGGAGAGCAGATCCTGAGGATGTCTCAGGTGGGGCGCTGGCTTCAGCTACCTAAGGGGAGCCGCCGAGGGATATTGCACGGTCCCGCTCGCGGCCGTTTTGTGGGGATGTCTCAAGCGGTTTGCTTGTTTTCTGTCTCAACATCCTCCGCTTTCGGAGCAGATTTGGAGGATGTCTCGAGCGAGGCGCTCATGTTCACTCCCCAGGTGGGCCAGATTTTGAGGATGTCTCGATCGGTTTACTTGTTTTCGTGGCCAGACTCGTGGGCACAGATTCTCCTCAGGATGCCACAGGAGGCTCCAACAGGCTCCAGGAGGCCCCACGAGGCCACATGAGGTCCCAAGAGGCATCAGGAGGCCACAGAAAGGCTCAAGAGGCCACATGATGTTCCGAGAGGCTCCAGGAGGCCCCCGGAAGCTCCAGGAGGCCTCAGGAAGCCTCCGGAGGCCCCAGGAGGCTACAGGAAGCGCCAGGAGGCCTCGGAAGGCAACAGGAGGCCCCGAGAGGCCCCAGGAGCCGGAGTCCTCAGAAGGCAACAGGAGTGGCTCCAACCCCATGTGTTTTACGTCTGCTCCTATATATTGGGCCTCACGTGAGCACGAATCCTTGATGTTATACGTATGTTTCTATAGTTTGTCCTTCTCCTGTGTAGACAACCTTGAATGTTTTACGTCTGTTCCTTTTATATTGGGCTTCCCCTGGGGCGCGAGTCCTTGGTGTTTTACGTGTGTTCCTATAGATTGCCCTTCTCCTGTGGCTCCAATCCGCAATGTTTCATGTACGTCTGTTGCTATAGATTGGGCCTCTCCTGGAGCACGAATCCTCCCTAGGAGGCCCCAGTATGCCCCAGGAGGCCCCAAGAGGCTCCTGGAGGCCCCAGGAAGCCCCAGTAGGTTTCAGGAGGCCCCAGGAGGCCCCGGGCTCATGCGCAGAGACGCGCTCGTACTACTGAGGCCCATTCACCCTCAAATTCATTCGCAGTTAGATTCATGACCAGACCGTCACAACTCAAGCCCGTTTACATTCGGAAACTCTTGTTGCGCCTAGACATTCCCGGCTGACAGGTCCATGCGAATAGATGCACATCTAGGGAGCTCCGCGCAGTGAATCCTTTATTAGGGATCGTGGCCCTGGGATTGCGGGGGCTACGTAATTTACGATGGGGTGCGGCTTTGGGAGCGCAGATCCAGGGTCATGCATGAGGGATCGCGGCGTTGGGAGCGCAGATCCCGGGTACGTTCCGAGGGACTGCTGCTTTGGGAGCGCGGGTGCGGGATCGTGGCCCTGGGAGCGCGGACGCCGTATAACTCCGAATTTGCGGAGAACGTCTCGAGCGAAACGATTGTTTTGTGCTGTATGGGTTGTTCCTTCCCTTGGGACCCGAATTCAGAGGATGTCTCAGGTGAAATGGTTGTGTTGTGTTATGGATTGGTCCCTTCCTGGGGACCCGATTTCAGAGGATGTCTCACGTGCAATGATTGTGCTCACGTGCCCAGATCTTTGAGGATGTCTCGAGCGGGACGCTCGGCTTCACGCGTCCAGGTCGCCCAGGCGGATGTCTAGCATGAGGATGTGTTGAGGATGTGTTTAGCGAAACGCTTGTGTTCATGTGTCCAGGTCGCCCAGGCGGATGTCTAACATGAGGATTTGGGCAGGATGCCTCGAGCGAATCGCTTGCCCCTGGCACGTTCCGTAGCGCGTCCCTTTGGCAAGTCCCGCGGTGCGTCCCTATGGCACGTCCCCTAGCTCGTCGCTTGGCGCGTTCCTTGCGACGTTCCGCGGCTCGTCCTCTTGGCATGTCCCCTTGTCGGTTAGCTTTGGGACAGCTAATATGTGCTCAGGCAGCTCGAGCTTAAGATCCAAATCAGTTCAGTCAGGACTCGGATGCAAAGGAGGACTCGATCCACAACACTATAGAGCACAATCGCGGGCATGGCACATCGCAGTTCAGCACGGCGCAGCACAGCACAGCCTTCGGTACGGTACATCAAGATCGATACATTCAGCATTGCAACCTGGCACGGTCCCTGGCGCGTTCCGTGGCGAGTCCCCCTGGCACGTCGCGCGTCGCGTCCCTTTGCACGTCCCGTGGCACGTCCATTGGCACGTTCCGCAGCGCGTCCCCTTGGCACGTCCCACGGTGCGTCCCCATGGTACGTCCCTTGGCACATCGCCTGGCACGTCCCTTGGGACGTTCCGCGGCGCGTCCACTTGGCATGTCCCCTTGTCGATTGATTTTGGGGCAGCTACTATGTGCTCTGGCAGCTCGAGCTTAGGATCTAGATCAGTTCGGTAAGGACTCGGATGCAAAGGAGGACTCGATCCACAACACTATAGAGCACAATCGCGGCATGGCACATCGCAGTTCAGCACGGCGCAGCACAGCACAGCCTTCGGTACGGTACATCAAGATCGATACACTCAGCATTGAATTTGCCCGTCGCCCAATCAGGTGTCTTTGCAAGGTTGCCATGCTTTACATTTCTATGTTCCTTTCCGGGTTCGTGGGTCGATCATGTTTTGTTTAAGTTCGTTTGGCAAAGTCGCTACGCGTGCAAAAAGAGGAAATATCATATTTCGTCCTCCTTCTTTTTTCTCCTCCTCCTCCTCCTCCTCTGCGTTCTCCTCTGCCTTCTCCAACTCCTCATCCTCCCTCTCCTTCTCCCCCAGAGAACCGCTTCATTTCCCCTTCTCCTCCCTCTTC